TTTTCTCTTTTTCTTCTGTCCTCTTGTTCCTCGTATTGCAATTGTTGCTGCCGCGATTCTATGGTGATAATTGATTAAATTTTCTTTTGTTCGTTAATGTCACACAGCCTTGTTAAACAAATTTTCTTCATAGCTGCGACATCATAGTTACTATGTAATGCTGTGCATTATTTTTTATTCCAGAACCGAAGAGAATTTAATTTTGCATTTGATTTTCATTTTGTCGTATTTGCGGTTCTTGTCACTGTTGTCTCCTTGCACTTAGCGGAAATTGATAAATTGTTCAACCGTAATTGAGTTTGTGTGCACAGAGTGAAATCTTCTTTTTATCAAACGTTAGAAAATGTGTTTTGCTGATTTTATTTTGCTTTTTAACATTTCATGATCGAACACTGTCTAGCAGTAGTTATAACGTCTTTTTTTTTCTTTTTTTCGAATTATTCTCTTTTACTAATCTGTTCCTTCCTTACTTTTTTCATTTTGTTTTATTTAATTTACTTCGATGCGCATTCAATGATTCGAAATAAATATTTGAACTGATTTGTTTTCAATGAATTTATAAATTATGTATTAATATTGATTATTATTAGATATTGGGGCGCTAAGAGAGAAATATTCATCAAAATTTTTGGCTTATTGTCTGCTTACTTCTCCTGCTTCCGCCACAGTTTAGCGAATCGTTGCTGCTCGCAATATGGAATAAAGATCGATCGTTTTATGAATCTAATAACATTTCATTTTCTTATGAGACTTCCACTTCATTACTAACAACCTAACCATCTATAATACATGGAAATTCAATTGCTCTAATGTCTCGAAATCTGTTTTAGATTTACGCATTTCCTTGTAACCGGTATGTATTTTGATGAACATATGTATATAGGAAAACAATTCTCTTCACGATCTAAGCTGATGAAGGCATATCTGTCCATTCGCTTTCATTTAAGCTTCTTAGTTTAGATTCCGAAAGCTTTAATTAAATATGTATTCCTTTTGCTCCGCATTACCAATTATTCCAAAAAAATTTTTTTCCTTGGAATTTCGCACTCCGATAGGCTATCTGCGGCGAAGGAATTCCTCCTAAAAATTTACAGCCTAAATCCTCATCTGTTGGATTCTATTAGGGGTAAAGATATGTTTCCACCGTTTTCCTTCAAAAATTGGGAATTTTTTGTGAAAGAACGGTGCGTTACCATTCGGAACCCACATCGAAAGAGCTCTTTATCTCCTGAGGCTATCCACGAATCGAAATCACTTTTGGTACCTTCGTACGAAGGAAATCGCTGCTCAAACAGACCATCTACCGGAACATAACCGGACAATCGGAAGGGGCAATATCTGGTGAATATGGCGCGTATGTCTTCTTATTTAAGCGTTTCCGTATAAAATATTCGCGTAGGCTGTCGGTTATTAACTTCTCCAATACGCTAACAATCGGGTTTAGACAGTGTTCATATTTACTTAACACCACTTTCAAATAGACATGACTTAATGTAGGCTTATCGAGGTTATCTTTGAACGGATATAATGATGAAAAATTGGTAACCCTATTTTCGCAGAGCGATCATGGGCCGCTAAAACTACTTAATTTAATCCAGTAATATAAAAATTCTGAATTCTAAATGGCTCTTTAATCAAGTAAAGCAGTCTTGTTTGTTTATGCATGCTTTTATTGTAGTAAAAGTGATCGTTCTTGCCGTCAATGATTTTTCAATAAAATTCATTGTCTTTCTTCATCGACATGTTTTATGTCTTATCGATTTTTGTCGACCTCTTTTAGTATAGACAGAGAAATATGCTTCTTTTTTAAATTCAATCAAGAAGAAGAGATGGAAGAGATGGACAAAAGTCACTGTCATAAAAAAAGTGATAAATACACACAAAAAATGTTATACAGCAAAGCACGAAGCTGAAGATAACTAAGAGAAAAGTGAACGTTTTCAACTAATGACGGCCACATGTAGTGAAAGTGTTGTACACGTTAACGTCAACGAATTGATTATTCATAAACTCGGTAAAGAATCGAACAATGTATTGTCTGAATATGATTTAAAAAAAAAAAAAAAGACCGAAATAAACTGTGTCATAATATTTAAAGATTCATCATTCTTACGACGCGCACAAATATCGCTTAACGTCGTTATCTCCTTGATTGCTTTACATTGTTTTTTAAAACACAACATAAAGAAGATGGATTAGAGGTATATGATCGCTTGTCTTGTTGAGAATTATCTATAATAATGTAATTAAATAAAAAATAAAAAAAAAAAAAAAAAGATATGAAACTCTTTTATTGTAATGATTAACGACTTTTTCAATATTACAAAGAAGTTAATTTGTGATTATCAAAAAGGCTTTTTTTTTATTAAAATTAATTATTATTATTAATCAGGAAGTATTTTTGCTTTACAAAAGCCCTTGATTCCAATATACACATATGTTGTATTATTTGAGAGATTTTCTCATTTCTTAAATAATATGCTCAGAATGCAATTGTGATTTATTTATAATAACCACTTCGTTTGAAGATATGATTTACGTGTGCAAAGTTATGATTTGCATATTGAACTCATTATGAATATTATAAGAAGCGGAGCTACTGAGGCTGAACTAAATTTAGATAAGAGGACTTACATCTCTTAAGCCGGATGACTTGAGTAGTCCTGCCGCTACTGGTAGCACAAGAAATATTGATTGCAGGTAGAGAGCATGGAATATAAGATCACTGACTGATATAAATGAGAGGGACATCTGTTTGATATTTTTAGTCTTCTATTACTTGCTATATATTAACATTTGAATCTCTTGCGGCTATAATATGTCTCTTATTTGGTGAAACCACCAGCCAAATTTTTCAAAAATGTTGGCGCATAAAGCTAGTTGTCCATCTTTCTAAACTTTGGTACTAACTGCATCTCATATATTCTTACGCGTTAACTTGTGGAATGCAAATTTGCAGCGAGAGAGAGGGTATGTAGGTTAAAAATGACTCAAAACATGTATATCACAACACAATAATCTAACAAAGATCAATATGTAAGACTGATTCCAAATCAAGCAGAACTTTTTCAAAATAATAAATCCCCGTCCCTTCAACCAGCAATAACCGCTTGATTTGAAAAGGTAAACGCTGTATTGAAATTCTGCCAAATGAGCAGGACAATCGGACGTGTAGAGAGCGTACCAAATGACCGTGTGTTTGTTGTACCTATGTAAAATTGATTACTAAAAGATAGCATCAACGTTTCAAATTTTCAAGCAATTTTCATCGAAACGCTTTAATTGATCAAATGAAGTTCTTATTCTGCAGCAGAGTACGCTTTGAAGAGTGTCAAGCAGGCATCAATATCTCGGGCATAAGAAATTTGCGGTAATCTACAGATGCCGCTGGATGTATTAATTTTTTGTGGATGTATACAATACCCAAAAGCGCTTAAGACAGACCCACCGTTTATTATATTGAAGTTTGTCTGTCTGTCCATCTGTCCGTTTGTTTTTTCGTGTTCAACCCACATTTAGCAATTTTCAAGTGTTTTGGCGCACTACCCATATAGTTTCTTATTTTGAAGACTCCTCATGTGAATGACTGCCTTAAACGAAGTGATGTAAGATGCTTAATGGTGGGCGGTAGGCCACTGTAACGCTTAGCTTGCTTTAGTTTACATTTTAAGCGCATTCGCAGTCTTTAGCCTGTACTTTATGGTTGAAGTACTTTATATCGAAGGCAGGGTATAGCCATTGTTATCATGTATTTTTTTGAATGACATTTCTTATTTGTTTTTTTTCTTTAAGAAATATTGAAAAAGATGAGTTAATTTCTCAAGCAACTAACTGAGCAAAGTCTTTTGAATAAAACCCGTAATAATTCGCAGCCTTCTGTCGCCAGCGAATACCAAGGATCTTCTCGTCTATTACAGCACTCTTGCCCTGGCCTAGGGTTTTGATAACTTTCGTACAGACTGCAAACAAGCAACAGTACCTCCGGTATTCTATAAAAATATTTAGGTCGCCTTGTTCGATCATATTAGATAATCAATCAATGTCGTCTTTTAGATTTTCTTTGGGCCCTTCTATGTCACGCAGTATTGAAATCCCCACGACAGAGCATATTTAAAATGAACTTTTTTAAGCGGAAAGTTCATGCGATACAGAGGATGTAAAGCGAATCTTAAAAAAGATTCATAAGCGTGAAATCAGTCGTGAAAATATCATTACTGTCATACCTAAGAAGATTCAAAAAGGACTTAATTGGCTCGTAGTCACCAAACGGATTGTCTGCTCACATTTAATGTTCCTCCTTTCAGTATTAGAAATTTAAAGTGTTTGTGTATGTTTTTGAAAACATCGTTTCATCAAAAATGAACCTATGTCTGAAACAGCGCAATTAACTTAATTAAACACTTGTTCTTCCTTCTTCTATTTTTTCCTCCGTTTGCGTTCGGTTTATAGATAGATGCCTTATAACTGCTTCAACTCGTAATAAAAAGCAACATGTGCCTAGGTAATTATAAACTTTTTTGGTTTATTAGAGCTCTTTGTATTTCTCTTTCTCGATAATGCTCGTTTTTTTTTTTTTCTTTTTTGCTCCGTTTAAACCAATTACGGGTTTCTCCAGTGAAGAGGTGTAGTATCTGCGTTGAACACAAACAAAAAAAAAAAAAAAGGCAAAGAAGTGTCAAAAATGTGAGCATAAAAACACTTAAGAGAAATTTTATCTGTGTATGTAAACAAGAATATCCTTTTGAGCAACCTAATGGTTTGGTGGTTAAGTGCAAAAAATTGGGAAACATTGTGTTGGCCTTTTTTTAAAACTATTATTAAAGCGCTTGTAAAACATGACGTATAAAATAATTGACTAACTGTTGCTGTGTATTTAAAATTTGCTTAAGCACGTATCAAATTTAAGTTGCATTTTTGATAAAAACTACAACCATTTACCTTTTGTCTTTTTCATTATTAACCTAAACTAAAAAAGGAAAAAAATTATTTTTATATTTTAGCGTCGTCGCGAACGTGGTCGTATACCCGTTAAAGGCGTCAGACTCGTTGAAACTGCCACAGTGAACGGTGAAGGAGGTGATCCTTTTGCACCGGATGTAAGTATCGTTTTACTTCTTTACATTATTCATCGTAGCTATTATCATCGAAAAAGTTTCAAGTTTCTTAGCTTTTCTCTCCTCTCGCTTACTTTGCAGGGCTATCCTTTTCAAGTAGGCTATTGTGAGTCAAGTGATGATCAATCTCAACGTACTGTTCCTCAATATACATTGTATTTAGTGGCAAATACTGAAAAAGAACGTTCGGATTGGATATATGCGATAAGGCAAGGTATGTCGAAATTATATTGCTTTCATGTTTTGTAGCATACATCTGTAAGCGTAGACAACATTGGACTTTTCTTCTGTAGGTCGCCTGTGTATCCGGCGATTGCGACGGTTTGTTCGACCTGCATGTTGGCGACTTGCAATTCTTCCAATTTGTTTTGAGCTGTAGTCGCCATTGTCTCTTATGATCCCATGCGCAGCTTAAAGGTGTCGCTACCGTCGACTCCACACTAAACGCTCGATTTTTATAAAGCAAAAAATTCACTGCGTTAATGAAAACGGTTTTGTAATGCAAATTTTGCATGACGTGAATTAGGGACCAGCGTTGAAGTTAGTTTGGATGCAACGGTAATTTGTCTTAAAACGCTTTGTAGGTTAGGAAGGGCAAGGGGAACCTTATACGTTTGCAAAAGGCGTTTTAAACTTATTATCTTTGCTCACAACAGCGTGTAATCAATAAATTTGGATCTTCATCGAAGTCTCTCTGTCTTCACCGCCCATACTTCTCTGTCCTGCAAGTGGCCCTTATAAAGTATAAATTTTAACACTAAAACCAGCTTATGTTATATTGACGTAGGCGAGTCGTTAACTGAACACTAGGTTGTCAAGAGGATTCAAAGCAAACACTGCTAAGTGTAATTCGAATAACCAAGCGAAAATTAGAAGTGCCCATGAAAATATCTTATAGTTAGTTATATAAGTAATAAGACCTTGCATGTGTTTTGATCGGCGATATCTATTGCTCAAAATGATATTGCTTTACGAAGTATCAACGTGCAAAACGATTCAATTCCATGATTTTCAACTTTCTTTACATAAAATAACAATTTTCCATTTAGTACTATTGAGTTGTTCATTGTGTACAGGTGCTAATCACGGAACACTCGAAATTGCATTTTCGACATTCATTATTTTTGTTGTTTGACTCGAAGAAATCTGTTTTGGCTGCAACGGTCTAAAAACGGTGAGTTTGTTGACCGTTGAGACAGACCTGGAGGACCAAAGAAGTTTGACGACAATCAACTGCAAGACTTATTGGAGGAAAACCCTGCTCAAATTCTCGAAGCACATTCGAAAAGATTAGTAGGTGATGAATGAACTGCTTCTACACGTTTACATGCGATGGGAAAAGTTCCAAAAGAGGAAAAATGGCTACCACACGAATCGACCGAAAATTCTGTATCGATCCGTCTGACATCGCGGTTTCATTGCTTGTCAGGCGAAAAAAAGAAAAGTTTTCCGTGGTGTATTGTAACTGGCGTTGAAAAGTGAATCTACTACGACAATCCCAAGGGCAAAAAGTCACGGATAAGTCAAGTTTGTTTTACCACATCCGCCTTACATCCCTGATCTTGCCCCCGCAGCAGCCTACCACCTTTTCTGTTACTTACAAAACTTTTTGAGTTGAAATGCCTTCAGTTCTGAAAAGCAAGTTAGTCAGGCTGTCGAAAATTTCTTTCAATCCAAACCAACCACATTTTACAAAGATGGAATTGATAAAAAGCCAGGAAGATGGAAGAACGTCATACATAATAGTGGCGAATACATAATAAATTAATATAATTTTGTTATTCAAGGAAAGCAAAATAAATGCCTGATAAAAAAACGGATGTTACTTGTGACTCAATCTAACATTTCGTCTGTTTATTTACTTACTTTTCCTTCTCTCCTTTGCATGAGAATATTATTATAATAGGTGCTTGCATTAATTTTGACAATTTTTTCACTTGAGAAAAATTGCCTCAACATATATTAATCGAAAGATTTTCTATCGTTTTCTACAACTTTTAACCATCTCTTTGGCAACATGGCGATAGCGTGTTGAAAGAACTTATACAGCTTTGACAGCGATCCTATCGTCGACGCATTTTCGCACTTCTTCAATTTTGCCGCATCGATCTGAACAAGTGGTATTCAGAAGACGTCATTTCTGGTGAGTACGCTGGTTGTGGCGAAACTTCTTACTCTAAATGCAACAGTGTATTCTTGACAATTCTTGCAACAAGTGTTCAAAATGGCTTTTCCAGTCAATTCTTGTGCTGGTAATTTTAGTTGCTATTGCTGGTCTTTTTCGCATTAATTCATTTGCTTCGTTGCTACACATCTGCAGTAACAGTTTTATTAGGTTTTAGTAGCTGGTAATACAGTACACCTTGCTGGCTCCACCATATGCACAGCAAAACATTATTGCCATGAACATTCTATTTCGGTGCCCATATGGATGGCTGTCCTGGACTAACCCATAACTTTTGGTGCTTGGCATTGTCGTCATATCAAGTTTTCATTTCGGGTCGCACTACGGCAAGCAACGAAACCAAATGGAAGTAATGAATATCAAAAATGCATTATGAGCATTCCGTGATTAGCGTCTGTGTACGCTGAACAACTCAATTATACTAAATGTGCAACTGTTTTTTTAGGTAAAGGAAAGTCAAAATCATCGAATTTATTTCGCATTACTTCAATTTTACCTGTCGCTGCTCAAAATTGATGCAAGCCGACGGCACCACAGATATTGCGTTGTAATAATGCAGCGAATGCAGCGAGAAGGCTAACTTGATATAAAAGTAATCGAATACCATTAACTCAAAAAGCAATCCTATCGTTCTTGTATTTCATGATGTACCATAGCTCGGTGACGAAAACAGTAGACCAGCTGCTGGATTGTGAAACAAAAATATCAAAAATCCATAAAAGTTTATCTTCAGGTCTTGAATTGGGTTGAGGAAAGCTTTATTTTATATGATAATGAAGTACAAGTGCACAGTTTAATCTCTACCGGATGAGCATTGAATTTCTTTCAACTAGATTAGAAGTCCTTCGCAATGTCCTTATGCCTGTAGAAGACAGGATTATGTATAAAATATTGTAGCAGTGCTCTGGAATATTAATGACGACTCCAAATTCATCATTTATCATTCTCAGGAACATGGAGTTCCTGTCTCTAATTTATTTTTAAGCAGGGCACATGAAGGCATGAATTTGGAGAAAAAATCCAGATGTTGAAGCTCGGGGAGAAGTCCCTTCAATAAAACACTTTAGAACAAGATTTAATTATCCTTCTTTTTATTGTAGTATGAGTAACCACTCAGGAAATGCCACCGTGTTCGAAAGAATTGGAGAAGAGGGAAGGAGAGAAATAGCGAGTGAGCGCAGCCTGGGAGACCAAACCGATGAAAAGACACGCGAATTGCGTCCACTGCAATTACAGTGACTAACGTAACTCGCGCACAACACACCAACAACTGGCCTCTATTTTCAAAAGCAAAAGAAGGACGATTCTGCGCATTGTTCATAAATTACAACAAATACTACGACAAAAATTTCATCCTTTATTCTCAGAAAGATCTGCCGATATCGATGTTTTATTTCTTGTTATTCTGTTTTTGTATTTGTCTTTAAGATAAAGGCGGTTGATAAAGGAGGTATCGGCTCAACCGCATACAATTTTCTCACTTGTTTAGTATAATTTCTTGCAGTTTAGTAGGTAACCTTGTTAATTTTGCAATAAAAAATGTTATTTTGGAAATTTCAAATTTGGTTCAAATGTCGGCTCTAGCCTTTATGTTGAGTTCGCATTTATATTAATTTGATTATCCAATAACTATCTTTTCCAATTTTTTGTTTAGGTGGTTTTCTCAAGAAATGCTAAAGAAAGAAATTTTTGTTATAACAAAACGTGCTAATGACTCAATTTACTCAATCAATAAACGGTACTTGTCTTTGTGGTAACACCTCATCAGTCATTCACACAATTTGTTCATTTTCAATTCAGTTCATTTACGGAAATATTATTGAAAATACTGTTTAATAATACAATGCATTTTTTAGGTTATATTGCGGTTTTCTTGCTTTTCCTTAAGTAAATTTTGTGGTAATAAATTGAATTAAGTTGAAGGTGAAAATTAGTTAACTTTGCCAAGCCCAACGTGAAGTTATTTGCGTGCTTGATATGCTCTCTGTATAGATCTTTGTGGTCATTCATTTATTTATTTGTTTGTTTTTTTGCACATGAAAACTCTTAAGCTTCAACCTTCAATTATAAATTTATTTAATTTTTTTTTTGTTTTTTTACCTTTTTCATCAACATTTTCGACTAAACTCATTGCCGCTTTTCTTGTATCTTACTGAAAATGATCTTATGACACGAATGAAGAAAGACGAAAAACTGTAGAAAATAAATTCAAAACTTTTTTTTTAAGGTTCGTTAACCCATATCTATATTTGATTTTTATAGATGTATGTATATATGTATGTCAGCAATTGCCTAGTTGAATTTAATTTACTTAAAGCATTTATATCTGGCACAAGTTGGCAAGGCTGCGGTTACCTCGCTTGTATATTCAAAATTATGAATTTACTATTTGGTGATTAAGATAAGTACAACTCGACGGAATCTAATAAAATACAAGAATTTTATACAAGAATTACTGGCAAGTAGCCCTTGTTATATAAATTTCTATGCAACAAAGTTCTTCTTCACCAAATTTTCGAAGCTTTTCCCGAAGGTAAATGTCTTTGCTTAAATAGATGATTACAGAGTGGGTAACTGTTTCGTCAAAAAGTCAGCTACTATGTCATTTGTCTCGCAATATTTTATCTCAACTTTGTTGTTATTGATAACTTCAGGAATGCGAAGGTACTTAATGTCCATCTGCTTGTTGCGGTTGCAAAGCGTAAATCCTGTTTGGTTATCTACATTCAATACTAAAGTGTTCCCCCATCGTTTTTTTGAAATTTAGCTAACAGCCTACGTAGGTAAATCGTAGCCTTTTTTGCTAGAATTAGCCATCACTAAAGGGCATAACCATATATCTATATTTCGTCACCAGAGCGATGCTCATGTGACGGTTCTTTAGGTCTAAATTTCGCACTTTTGAAATAAACTTAGCTCCCACATCTTTCGTGTTGGAAACATCCGAACAAATTGCATGAAATGAGCCATCAATACGCTGATGTCATCAACAACTTCTGTAATCGTGATAGGATGATTCTACGTAGCAAATCGGGAGCATTTAATTTTTCGCACAAAATTTAATACGGCCTTTTTTTCGATAGCAAAAAGTCTCCAAGCACATCAAAACTAACGTCTAACTTTTATATCTGTCAAAAACAAACTAAAAATGATAATTATGCCAACATAAGAACATTTTTTTTTTTTTTTTGAAAGTATCTCGTAAATTTAGCCTCAAGGCTGCTTACAGTTACAATTTCTGCTTCTCTGATTCGCAAAAAATAAGGCGATTTGCAAAGTAATATAAAAGTTCTCTACAATACTTTGTGCCAAATTGGGTATTGCATCTACAAATGACGCTGCAATATATAAAGAGTAATGCTATAACGTTTAAAAAAATTTATATTAGTGAAATGCCCACACTTCAGTGTAATTCTATACAGAGTTGACCCAAATCTATGGAGCGGCGTCAATGATGCCCAGCTTTTGCTTTAGGAATAAAAGCAATCATGCCAATCGTAAACAAAAAACATATGTTTTGCGAAAGTGAAACCAAAGCACCAACTCTTTATGAATTCTAGACTACTTTTGTCGAGTTCTTTATTCGAACTTTACGCAGAGAGCAGGAATAGGTCATTGCGACCTCATTTATGTAGGTTTCAAATTTAGTTCTTGACGATGGGGACGCTGATGATAAGCAGATGAGCTCCGGATTGAAATTAATACAAGTTCCAGCAAATAATTTGTGTATAGATTTCCTAAATTTGTAAAGAGAACCTACGTGCCTTTTTTTCAAAATGAGTTGAATAATTAACGTAAATTCACAAAAGACGGATGTTATTGTATTATTGTACCAATTTTTCTCAACAAATTCACAAGTGAAAAAATGATCAGAATACATGCAAGCACCTAACATATTAGGGCGTACAGAAATTCTTCGCTGCGGAATGGCATTGAAGCTTATGTATCGGGCAGCACTCACTTGACTTGTCTTAAACGAACATGTGCTTAAAAGGTGACTTTTCAGCCTACAATTTTGGTGAAGATAGTTTTCTAATCCATCGCTGATGTAACAGTTATATTGATTTGAAAATTCGTGAGAAATATGTTACGTGATGAAACATGCAAAAACATGTCGAAAATTTTGCGAAGGGTACGATGCAAATGCTGTGAATACACAAAGAGCTCAGGAGTGGTTTGCTCGATTCCGTTCCGGAAATTTCGATGTCGAAGATGCACCTCACTTTGGTTGAAAAGGTCAATGAAATTTTGCAACTCGTGGAGCAAGGCCGCGTAAACTGCCTGTGCTCAGGAGGCATAAACATAACGTAAGCATAAACCACATGACAGTTTGAAATCATATGAAAAGAGCAGGCTACAAGAAGGGGCTCTATCTCGGGGAAAATCGGCGAAAACTTTTTATATGACCCATTACTAAAGGTTTACGTGAACTTTTTTTAGAAACGTTTTTAACAACGCTTCCAATAATTGCCTTTGAATACGCTTAACGTTTTTGTCGTGTTGGTTTCATCGATTTAAAATGCAGTTTATAACATATTTTTTACTTCAAGTCGTTTGCTCTTGCATCCATTAATGTCTTTCTCCCTTTTTTGTTTGTGTTGTTTCACGTTCGGTTGAATTTTCATTTTGTGTAAAAACATTTCGCGTTTTTAATATTCCTTCTTTCTCCTTTTTTTCGCTTATTTGTTAAATAATTTTCGCTTTCGTTGCAGGATCGCCAGTCGTGTTGTTATTAATAAAAATCTTTATTAATTATTCTTAGCTGAGCTTAATCCAAGATTTTTATTTATATTTTTTTGACGTTCAATACACAAGACCATAGAAAAAGAAGAAAGAAAAAAAATGTGGTAGACGTACAACACCCAAAAATTAAAAAAAGTTTTATAGCGAAATATAAACAAGTAATCAAATAAAGAAATATACCAAAACTAACCTCCAACTTTACTAAGGCCCAGACAAAGAACTTCGTGTTCACAATGCGTCCTTTTTCTACAACGCAGCGAATCATTTGTTTGCTGACTAGCTAAGCATTTAAGACGAAGCAAATAATGTAAACAGATTTGGAACACCTTTTAATATACAATATATTTTAAGCTGTATGTAGGTTCTATGGAAGAAGAACATATACAAACAGGATTCTCTCTTGCAATTGATGACTTTAACCTTCTTAAGACATGAATTCAATTTGAAACCCATTCGACAGCTGGAGTCAGATGTAATATCGTTTGCATAAAAGTGAGTCAGCTTTAAAATGTCAATTCACCATTGCTCTGGAATTGGAGAAGACGTCCCACCTGGATTTTTCCAATTGCGCAAGGCCAATATCTTATCCAGCTTTGGCTAATTCGGGATCATGTCTCTATTGTAAAATAATTCCTTTCGCGTCTTTAACTGGGTGCATTGTTTTTCGTCACATGGGAGGTAGGACCGCTGTCTATTGCTTTAGCTTCTAGCTTAGTCTTCTATCAATATAATACATACTCGATTTGTTGCTGTAATGAATTTATTGCCAAGAAGTGCAATTTTTTGATTGCAATTTTCATATTTTATGAATATTTAACATCTAACATGCATTAATAAAGATTTAAATAAAAGTCTCTGTAGCTGCTAGCATAGAAAATGATGCGTGCTTTTCTTCTTTTGACGACCTTTGTTAGCGTGACTTCACTTTTGCCAGAAAGACAAACACTTACCAATCTTTTTGCAGTCAATATTCATCATTTTATCATCATTTTATCATCATTTATCATCATGCAGCATACGAACATTGTGTTCGTTCCATGCCTTCTGTAATACAATCATTTGAACTTGTCTCGTTTTCTTTCCATCAAAAACTTAAGTTTTAACTCAACCAATAAAAGCAAATGAATTCAATTAAATGAAATGATTTGTCACGAACTTCAATAGAGAAGACAAAGTTCTCAAAATCGGCTGGAAGATGTGGCCACAAAATAATCACCAGCAAGTTCATCATTCAACAAAAATTACTATTTCTATAAAATACAAAAATTAGTTATAGTGCGTCCTTATTTAAAAATACGACAGTCAATCGCGTTTTCAATACGGCACGTTTCCGTCTTTATTTCAGAAGACGTTAGGCATAATCTCCTGGAACGTCATTTCGGTATGCTAGACGATGCACTCAGAAGCTCAATTTCGGGGCAGTTGTCAGCAGATTCGAATTCTTATCGACGGTTAGCAAATTGACGCGAGTAAATCATCCCATTCCAAAAACTGTTGAGAATTGTCAGCTCTTCTCTGGCTTTGCTCGTCAGACAACAAGCTTTCACCGTGGCCCACTGATTCGTCGCTTTTTCTGCTTGTCGAGTTGACCTATCCACATATCTTTGTGTTTGACCTGCAAGTCGGAAATTTTGAAATATTTCGATGACGTTTGATACATTACCGTGTTTTTGTTGAAGGACGGGCGTGGAAAAAATCGCTAAGTCGTACTATTTCGGCGTATTAAATTTATGTGTAATTTTTTGAACCTTTTTCCGCATAACTGTTGCTACGCAAAGCAAATATCCATAGAGTAAATACGTCTGCCTTTTATTTTTTTTCAGGGTGAAAATTGAGAAATAATAACAATTTGAGATAAAAAGAACTCTACTACATTTGGATCACGTAGGTCAACTTTTTAAACTCCCTTTTAAGTAAGGGTTCTCATGAGCAATGAGCCTTTTTGGGAAGAAAGAAGGTTTATATGCTAATATTTAGTCCATGACGCTAATTTGACATGGTGCACAAGCCTTCCTATGAAAACAGCTTATTACTGTTGGTCTTTTGTTTATTAGAGAGACGAAGTTTTATATCGGCTGTTGCCGTCCTAGCTAAACTGATGGACGATTCTATTAACGCGGCGGCTTTATCAAAAGAGATAAATTTCACTGATAACAAGAAGATTTTCAACCCGTTTTAAATCTTTTGCGAAAATATAAGTGATGTTTATTAATTTTATTTATTAAAACAATAAACAAAAAGTCAATTTTACTTAATAAAAATGAACTTTGCATCTTTAAAAGTATCGCATGATTCGCAAATTAAACTGACTGCATATATTCCCTATTATAGCTTGTCAAGTTCTTGTACGTTCGCGTCAGTTAGGGTGTCCACTCTTAGCTCAGAACTATACCGGCGTCTAATGTGCCCCTATGCTAGAAGTGCACACGCACGTTTTTCTTTCTCTAATTTGTTTACTTATTCATTGGTTTTGCTTTCATGCTTTAGAGCCCCTGTGGGAAAAGGGATTATTAAGATGGGAAGGGTATATACAACACACACAAGGACGCCATTTATTATACCGAGCGATTCAGACCCATTTTCTGAATTGATTCAAACTTGTCTGTCCCTCTGTCCATCCTGTTTTCTTGTGTTGAACATACAGGCCGAAACTTTTGAAATATTTTGATGATAATTTAGTAAACAGACTTGCTTTGATCTAAGCACGAACTCTGTCGAAAATAGTTCGGTTCGAACCGCTGTTACGACTGCTGCGAATATAACACTTTGTTTCGGCAAGTCGCTATGTGAATAATTGTGGGACGGCGGGCATTGCGTTGCAAGGGTGTTTTCGCTTGTTTTTTATACTTTCTTCATATTTGTTACTCTATAAAGGTTAAATCATTAGGTTTATCCTAAAAATCTACATAATTGGGCTTTTAGCTGAATCTCATGTGCAAGTAATAAGTAAAAAACAAATTTAACTGACTGTATCCACAGATTGACCTAGCAACGGCTGACGCATATATTTCAATCTCTTCAAAAGATTATTATTATGGTTACTTTTATCATTGAAACGATTAAAAGCTTTATGAATAGTAGCTTAAGTACCTTTCTATACAAACGTATAAAGACGAGCTCACTCATTTCGAATATTTGTCACTTAAAGAAAGAGATATTCGATCTGTAATTAAAGTTTGGGAACAAACACTTTTGCCAGTACTTTATTTCTTGATAATTTACTCGTGTTCTTTTAATTTTCAGTTTGCGAAGACACAAATACACCGAAATCGTTTCGTTTTCACCCAGGTCTTTGGTCGGGTAAACGTTGGTCTTGTTGTAAAAGCATTAGCCGGGCAACATTTGGCTGTCAAGCGGCAACACATTGGCGTGAAACTAATAATAATCCAAGTAAGTGAAAGCATAACACGCGCGTGCAAATACAAAATTCTTAACTTCCGTCATTTAAACATCTCCCCTATTATTAACTTTAATAGATTTCCGACAAAAACAAAAAGAAATGAATAAAGAAAAATCTTAACGAGATCTTATTTTGTTTTTCCTTACATTTAAGCAAGCATTCAATAAAATCTAATTAACGCATACCCGTCCGCGACGGGCGAATTTCAATGAATAGCAATGGAGCAATGCTGTGACGGTGTTGCTGACGATTGTGTGCGTTCATTTGGAATGTGTTTTCTAAAAAGAATTTTTTTTTTTTTACGTTTTTTGCCATAAAACAGGAAATGCGTGCAATATATCACTCAAATAATGTTGTATGTTGCGTTGCTCTTTACAACAACAGAAAGCGATAATAAAAATAATATTAGTATCACCTTCGTAGTCGTTATTATCATCATTATCATCATCATCATCATTATTTGTTGCTGTCTTGAATTATTGGTTACGGTTTTTGTTTAACAGCAGGAACAAAAACTTTTTAATATGCTTTCACGACCCCGCATTACCTTAAGCCTGAATCGTTGAATAGACAGTGAAAAATTTATTAATGCAACGAACATTTTTCTTAGCTTTCGACCTGTTCACGTTGCTTGCTTTAGCGTTCATTTGTTTCGTTTGTTGTTTCTTCATCGTTTCTTAGGCCAAGAGCATTCCAAATGCACTTTTTCAAATTTTCCATTTAACATCCTATATATATATATATATATATATATATTGCATTGCATTCTTAAACAGTAGCTAAACAATGTCTTTCACGTCTTGGATGTTTGTCAGTGCATTTGCCGTAAACTCTACTTTAACTGCACATATATCACTTTGGTCATGCTAGTCACAGTCATCAATATTTTGAGAAGAGCTCATGCAGCCGACATATTACTCACATCGGCATGGAATTGGGGTGACCACGAAATGCAAGACATGCAAGACATGCCGTGAATAACCCCTACACACATATATTCCTTTCAAGTTTCATTTACATGCTAATGTTTCAATTCTATATGATTCATAAAATTGAAAAAGTTTTCTCACAAACTCATTTTGTCTTTTCTTTAATTATTTACATTTTATGTATGTAAAGGGGTGAGCCAAAATGTGCTTAGATTTTAATTTTGTTTATTCTTTTTTTTTTTTCTAAAAGATGTTATTTTACTCAAGCCATACGAGTAAGTCTTTGCTGGTTTTCTAGAAAAATTCGACGTTTTTTTGTCATGAAAAGATGGCATGAGATATTTTATCCAATTCATCAACAGTCCATTCGTAATTACCGTTTCCCTCATTTTATAATTCGAAGATGAAATGCGTAAAGAAAGAGCAATGGGTTTCTTATGGCCACCAAGAAAAGATTTCAGTTTTTAGCCAACGTGAGAGGAGTCGAAGCCCTGCTGAACAATTGAAGGCAGTGCTAATCAGAATACAACACAGTTCTGTTACATTGACTTGCTCTTGACGAGTGTGTTTTGCCATAAGAAACCGAACGTCATCTTGCCGAAAAGCCACGACATCACAACGTTTGCGTCAGTTATGACAACAACAGGTGGCTTTTACTACTGATAGCTTTGTCCGACTGAAACAATCCATAATATAATGAGCACAGATGACACACCAATTGGATCACCAAGGACATGCGGCTCTATTCTCGATATTAATGATTCCCCTACGTTGAATCATATTTGAACTCTGAATATCGTAAAGTATCCGGCATAATTCAGTAGCATCGTCCTTGAGATTAAACTGAAATGGTAATATTTCACGTAAATGGTATTGTTTACTACAGAGTTCGGCTTATTCCACACTTCAGAAAATTCTATATAAACAACTTAATATACTTAATATACATTTTCAGCTGGAAAAGTTGTAGTTTTCTTCGATTTCGTTCTATATGCGACTAAAATATTAGACAAAATTGTTACATGAAGACTATATATTATAAAACGTCTGAACTTGTGATAGCATTTTTTAATACCCATTCACACAGCTGCCAACACAAGCAGATACCACATATTGATCAAAAATCGTCTTTGAGATTCTCAAAGGCTTCTTTTACTGCTGACTTAAGCTTAACACCTGAAATGATGCCAAACAAAAAATCAAAGCAAAAAGTCAAGTCGCTTGATTTCAATTCATTGCACAAAATGACGTCATCGATAAATTATTTTGGCAATCACTGCAGTGTGGTTTGCCACAGCATTTAACGATATACATGTCACTGACGTTAGGCTATCAATTATTTGAGGCCTTTAGCTCAATTTGTCACACCATCGATAATATTTTCTCATAAACGTATGCAACATAATCTTTGAATTTCTTTTTATGTTAATTTTTTACATCAACAAAACACTAAAAACAACAAGTTGTTACTTAATCAAGTCTTCTTGCGCGTTTCGCATCCATTTTGTACATTTCTTCATAACAAGTAGCACGCAGTGGAAATTTAATGCTAAATTTTAAATGAACTGTTAAAACGTGTCAATGATGCGTAACAGTTACGCCTAAGTTCTCGTTGCAATGCGATAAGCATTTCTATCAAAGACTACAAATTGTATCATAAGTTTCTGGGATTTGTGCTTTACACATATTCAACCGCTTAGATGAAGAAAGCCTTTTGTAAAAACTTTTACAACTTTTTTCTTTTTCGAAATTAATGGACATTTTTACGAGACAGCACTAGCAGCGCAGCGCAATAATTATGCGCAGACGTCTGAGATGGAATCACATTCGCCTTTGATTCCAACTGCATACTTTCTTCCTGTTACGAAGTTTGTCAGTTGAATATCTTTGCGCAATATCAAAGCAAATGTTTCGAAAATAACAATGAAAAATGCAGTTCTTTGTCGAAACCGAGTCGCAGTTTGGTTTAACAATTTTCTAATATCATCTGAATGTAGTATAATTTTTATTAAGGCGTAATATGACCTTGTGTAAAGCCGGCCGCAGAATTCGTAAATTTTAATTGATGCTCACTAAAGAATTGCATTTTACGGCTGCACTTGAAATTTCAAGAAAATATTATAATAAGTGTAGAACCGTTATAGTTGATTCGAAAAAGTCGATTTTGATACCCTACACAAGTTTTAATGCATAGTATATTAAATGAGTGCGGAGATGTTTAATGACCAGAGAGGCTTAAGATGTCTAGATTTTATTTTATTTATGTCTTTCCGTCTGTCTGTTTGTTCATGTGCTTTTGTTACGCTATTGTGAAGAGTGGACGTGCTTTGGCCCAAGACTACACCCCATTTAAAATGGATTTGATCGGAGCATCTTTAGGTCCATTTTTCAAAAACAAATTCAATGCAATATTCAAAGTTTCTCGACAAAAGTCACTGGCTCCACATAAATCACACAATTGCCGTTTGAAAGCTAAACAAACGGTCCAATTTTAAATATTTCGCAATGGATGATGATCCATTACAGTGGCTCGATATAAGAATTAGCTGAGCAAAATTTAAGTGGTGCATGGCTATTTTAGTATATATCACTAATGAGGCCTGTCGCCATTAACAAAGCGATAAGCTGAAGAGGTGTTTACATAGAATTGCGTTGTTGTTGCGTGTTGCGGAGACGTTTTTTTTCTTTTGCTCGGTCAGCGCAAAACCATTTTGTGCTTTATAGTCATTGGAAATACACGCAAGCGCACCATCCCTACGATTATTTGCGTTCGGTACGGCTGGAGGAGAGCGGTCTATTAGGAGCTATTAAAGCTTGATAAAGCGGCTAATATCAAATACCATCAACACCTCTATTCTATTGAACCGTTCTATCTATCTATTCGCGAAGATCATTGTTTCACATGATATCCATCCATCTGTCCTAATGGCAAAACCGATTTGCGACACGGCGACGGAAGCATTCAATAAGGGAGTGTTGCTTCATGGGGTGTGTTCACCAAATTCGGTTCGTTTCGATTACCAATTGTTCGCGTTGATGGATCTCGCACTTGCCGAGTGGCGCCTTGGATTGTCCAAGGATGGGAAAGCAAAAAAATATTTCCACTGCCGTTGAGTCCACAACGTGTCAGGAAGTAGCATACTTTTAACAAATCGTTTCTTATCGTTCTTCCAAATTCTTTTTTGGAGCAAAAAAATAAGAATTACATAGTTATACATCTTTGTATATATTTGTGCGAAGTGGTGGTGGATCTTAAAGGTTGAGTCTAAAGCGAATGTAATTTTTTATTGTTTCCGTTGAGACTTAAGTACTATGCAATAAAGGGAAGAGGGACTTTGACTCTTCTAGGATCTTCGAGTCTACGTAATTTTTGCGTAGATGGTCGTAGAGAAGTGCATTTCTCGGAAATGCCGGCAGATCGAAATTTTGAAATCCTATTTCCCCCTTAACCTCGCGACGATCATCTACTTCTTTATATTTCTCCGCCTTTAGTTTTGTTGGGAACATAATGCAGTGCATGTATGGATCAGAATGTCGTTTTCAATATTTTTTGCTTATCGGATTACTTATAAATAATTTGTTTTTTCCTTTCAAAAATTGTTATCTAAATATTGCCGAACTTATCTTTGTTTATATATTTGTATACATAAATAGAGTAAATAACCTAAATAAATAAAACAGAAAATTTTTATTAAAAGCACTTTAATTGTTGGCTTTTTATGTTGAAAGCAGAGTGGGAAAAAAAAAATTCTAAACAAAGGCGAAGACATGTTGAAAAGTATGTGTATATTAAAATTTTTTACTTTTAAAGTGTGAAAGATGACAATAGCAAAGGGACGACGCGTTTTGTTACAAATTGTTTTAACAAGTCTCTAGGACTTTTCAGATACGCTACGCAGCCTCCATAAATGGTCTGAGTTCAAGATGAAAGCCTTACATGCGGCGTCTGATATTTGAATTGTGAAATTTTCAACACTAAAGAGAAACATTTCATTGACAGCGTAATATGACAATTTGTTTGTGAAACACACAGCAATAATAATATATCGCATGCAATAACT